CCCCCCCCCCCCCCCCCCCTCTACCAGGACCAAAGATTGATTTTTCACAAGATATTGGCATATATGCCTTTGGTTAAATTCACGGTTATTCTCTATACTGCGCCTCCGCGAAAATGCTGTCATAGACTAGTGGAGGCTTCACACACACACACACACACCCCCCTTTGCCCATACCGCATTTGGCGACACTTTATCGTAAGTATTAACCTCAATGCGACGCAGTGCGAACTAAGAACAAACGCGCTTATTCAGATGCGCCCACATAACATTCAGACCGGTTAATATTCGCTTTCTTCCATCTCGAACTTATAAACAGGCTTTCTATCGCGAACACACTACTAAAAAGGTAGCGACAGTCTGACATGAACATTGTGAATAAATACTTATACACACTTCATATTGTGCTTCACTGATAGACTATCTCTAAGTGCTGCCTCTTCAAGTGCGCTGATAAAGAGGAAAAGTGTATACGGTGTCTTTTCATCGCATTAATTGAAGTTGCCATTAGCTTACTTAGATACAAAAGTATTAAGTATTGTTCTAATTAATTATTTGTTGTCTATTAAGAAGATTTATATGTTGAAATATTTAATTAATTACGGTTGGATTGTGCTATTACTAGTGTTATTGCTCTAGCGGTTCTCACGGCAATGCAACTTCAATTTGCAATTTCAGGGCAGATTTAAGATGCACTTTTCAATATTTTTGTTTTACTTAAAAGATGTCGATATTTCAGAACGAAAAGCAACCGTTACTGAAAAGCATGCGTAACGTTGCCCCATCATTTTAAGATGTTTTGGGTAAAAACATATTTCATAAAACTACATAAACAAAAGTCTGCTTTCAAAAATACAGCATGTATGTGAAAGATCAATTACGTTAACGTTGATATGAATTTTTCTGGCAATGAGTGTGCAGCGTTTTAATGATATTTAAATAAAACGTATTGAATTACTTAACTGCCAAAGCCACTTCATAGGCGAGACTGATCGATCGCACCCTATGAGTTATAATTGGTGAGAGTATTTGATCTATCGATCAATCGATCAAAGATCGACCATTTTGGTCTACCTGGTGTGGCGGGTCAATCATTTACTCTAAAGGTGTATTTGACCTATTGATCAAATGATCCAATGATTGATTAATAAAACAAATAAATAAGCTATTAAGTCGTATCTAGATGTTTTGTTTGCGCGATTACCGAAAAGTCACAATTTTAATGGCGAACGTTAAATATATATTTTTCAATGAGTGTGTAAAATTAAACAGAGAAAAAAAAGCTGGTCTGCTGGCTCGAGTACTTGCTCATATACCGTTTCCTTTAGCCTCTTGTTTATTAAAATATATTTATTTTCATTGATATTTTTCATACTTTTACATACACATATTTTGATTTACTTGATCACATTACTTTATTCACATTAAATAATATTTTACTTGTTTTTCTTGTCACAGGCGGATACGACCAAGAGAACAGCTGCAAATACCCAACATCAGCCTACAGCTACGCATCCGACCACACACAAGGCGGGCACCACACCTACAACCCCAACAACCCCCACCCCCAACAGCTTCCAGAACCACTCGTGGGTCACTCGCTCTCGTGGACGGACGAAAAATCCTTGAAAATGGGTCCCGATAACAAACTTTGCGCCAAAATCTGGGTTCCTGAAATGACGGCGGAGGAGCAATTGATGTGTTCGTATTGGTAAAGGTGAAGGTCGGGGTGAAGGTCGTACGCAGCTTTATCCACGCAATGCAATTCACGGTGGCCTGTTCGATAAACTGAGTTACCGTTTGACGTTTCAGTGTTTCTTCTCGTGGAAAAACGTTCACGGCAAGCACTGAGTCAAAACCCCTTACGGACGTCTCATTGTTAGACATTATAGAAAGGCTGACTAAAATCCTCAGTGGCTCCCTCTTTTTGTCGCTACCAAGTGAAACCGCCCTAGTTGTTATACCGTTGCTACGTCACTGTATTGAGGTCCAAAGTTTCTGTTCTTCCCGAGAAAAAGACATGCGGATGATTGTCGCGTTCAGAGATTTTGGCACTAATTAAGGCATTTTAAAATACGGAGGACAGGTGCTTCCTAAAATGTTTGACCGCTAATGAACGGGTGGGTGCATCTTTCTGTTAAAGCTATCACTACTGTTTGTTTGTTATCAGTGATGTAAGACAAAAAACTATGCAATCGTAGATTATTAATCTGGGACTTATCTGTCTACGCCATTTGTATTTCTTCCAGTGAGATCTTCCAATATTTTTCAAGTTTTCATATCAAAAATGTAGTTTATAAACAATTTTGTAAGCAAGAAATAAGTGGCACCAAGTGCTTTCAGCTCTTGATCTTCCTTGAATGTTTGTACGCAATTTTACCCCAGATACTCCGAAGTCGACCCCTGTAAATTGTATATTTTGTACCTAAAGTGACTTCCATTTTAAGATAATTTTAGTATTTTGCAGCAATTGTACAGTAGATGATTGGTCTACACATGTAAGTGCATTAGTCAGTAAGAGATACTGATGACGCGCGCTAGCTAAAATGATGGTTGAACAATACAACGATTGTAAAGATCAAGAATAACAAAAACCGCTTTTTACAGCCATCCAGAAGAAAATATTTGCCAAAGACATTGACAAAACAGTTAGATCAAAATGCTTGATGAAATCAATTTCTGATCAACTTGTCATGATCAAAATTAATTTATGTAATATACTAATGTAATTTAGTGATATTTAGGCTAGTTATCCTGGAGCACGAGAATGAGCAATACGCAAATGATGCGCAAGCCATTATCTGTTACAAACTGCATTTTTTTTTTCGATTTTATTTTTCAAAATTATTTTCCCAAATAATTCAGTATTATTGTTGATTTTCTTATTCCATATGATAGTTTTCTTTATCTTCATAAAGTAAAGCAATTAAGATTTTAAACTTAAGAATATTTCTTTATCTGATTTCTTTTTTATTTCGATTAAACTAGTGAGCTGAATTTTTCTGTTAATCTTTATCAAAAATAGTACAGGTTATACACATGTCTATGTCTGTGTTTACATTCTTTGTGATTTAATGCCTATATGGAAAAGACTACCTAGACAATCATGTTTTGTATTATTATTATTATTATTATTATTATTATTATTATTATTATAAATGACGGATTTTTGTTTATAACAACTGCAGTATTGATAACAGTGCTATAATCTACATATTCGACAGCTGAAACACATGTTAAATATATTTCATCTTTTATTTTTGTTAATATTTCATATTCTTCCATTGCACATATATAAAAAAAATAAATATCTTGATAAAAAAACGTTTTGTTTGTTTTGGAGTTTTAGAAAATATTATTTTTTGTTATTGCTAAAACGAATGAATTTTATTAGTGTTAATTTTATGTCCCATTCGGCGGAGCGAATGTATCTTATAATCCTACCCGGAAGATCTTCATTAAAGATGAGAATTCCCAAAAGATGGCTAAGTGTAAATTTTGTTTTAAAAATTTAAGATGCATTTAGATATTCAGATATTGCAGATTCCTCCCAGCAATCAGACGGGACGTATACGGGTTATTTTATTTCGTATTACCAATTAATTTTTGCCTTTTTTAATTTTGTTCTTTTTTTTTTTTCTTTCTTCTTTCTATTCTTCGTGTGAAATAATCTGGAAGTCAATAAATATCAAGAACGTCAATTACGTCCTTGGAAAAAACTAAGTCTGACAATTCCAAATAAACCAAATTTTATTAATGCTTGGCATTCTAATGTGATAAATACAAAAAATAATAATAATAAAATAAAGTGAAAAAATATGAGCATGAAAGACCGCATAGCAAGCGTATTTCTGATACCCAAGGTATAGCGGCGTTATCTAGCGCTAAACTCTTTAGGGTCTTCTTGATATGAGGTGATCTTAAACGACTTGTGGTGGCGTGTTAATCGTAGTCGGAGTACAGGTGCACAGTTTCTCAGACCAAGGACTTGGCTGAAGTTGGGAGTCGTGACAGGTCTGTTGTGAGCAAATTTAAACGGGGAGGGGGTCTTTTTTTAAGTGGACATTTTACCCTCTTGTTTGCTTCGCCTTGAAAATTGGTGCAGAATTAATAGAATAGCTAGAATTTTGGAAATCGATGACTTACGCCAGGTGAAAACAGATAACTGATGTCTGGCAATTTGTCATAAAACATCTGAATAGTTAAAACAAATAAGTAGAATTCAAATCCGTACAAAGAGTCACGCAGAGCTGCAAAATGACTTATCAATTTTCCTCTTCTTTCAATTAATTTTTTTTTGAAAATGCTGAAGGTGAGATTGGAATGATGTAAAACTTTAAATCGATATTTTCGTGAAATTGTATACAGAATACAACCGCTATTCCTCCTGTGATATTCCTACTTCAGTGGTTTACTGTAGAGTGGATGGGTGAAGGGGATAGATCGGATATGACACGCCAAATGCAACATGTAAGTTTTAATAAAACAATGTCCTTAAACGCTTCTCTCTCAACTACTCACTGAACCACAGGGTACTCACTGAACCACAGGGTACTCAGACTTACAGGGTGCTCTCTGAAGCAAGTGGTACTCTCTTTACCACAGGGTGCTCTCTGAACCACAGGGTGTTCTATGAACCACAAGGTCCTCTCTGAACCACAGGGTAAACTGAAGTGAAATCATGGATCCGCAAATGTGTGAGTCCATTTTATTACGGCAATAGTTACTACACACCGTTTCAAAGGGGCTAAACGAGTGATGTAATGACTGATCAAGCAACAAAAACAACCACCCATAACGAAAATAATCAACCCAGTATATATACCCACACAAGGTAACTGAGCTTTTAACCCGGGGTAAGAAAGTTATTGTTATCTTGACTGAAAACAGAAAAACAACACTCGGCAATACAGCACTTAAATTATGTTAAAATTAATAGACGCGCAATGATATTCCGATTAACAATCGCAACTGAGAAGACTGGATAAACATTTGGTAATGCGAAGATTTCTGTTCTCTTTAATAGGGGCAAAATGTGCGTTAATCTCGCTTTATCTCGCCACGTCTTTTCTCTCCAGCGCTGTGTACTTGAATGGGAAATAGTTTACACTTAGTTTAGCCCTAGATTAAATATTTCGTTGAATAATAATAACAATATCATTATAATCATATTAAGATAACTGCACATCGTTTGATATGCTATTTTCGATGTCGGTGCACGGTTCACAAACATAGTGCTTGTATTTGCGTTATATTAATATGATTACTTTCGTTCCAAATTAGAAAAATATTAAGGACAAATGCCTCATAAGCTGGTAAAGAAATTGAACTGCACTCGTGCCTCGCCTTTCAACAATTTTTAAAACCTTGAATTCCCGATTTCTCTCCACCCTGGCATTTTGGAGAAGACTAAGAATAGATATAGAAAGATACATCGTCTTGGTAGTTATTTTAGTTTTGAGATCTTTTGGAAGTGTCAGTTGACTACGTATGTTTGGGGATAGACTGTTTTGTTTTATGCAGCCTTATCTATGTATTTCCTTCATATTCTTTTCAAATCAGATCAATATTTTTTGGTGTTAAATGTTAATTCATTTTATTATCAAAGTTCAGTTATTTCACTCAAAATGCAACCGATTGTATCTAATTTCCATTTTTATTTAATATCATGTCACTATTTTTATGATGAAGATGTATCTTTTTTCTTTTTCAAAAAAACTTCTATAAACCCATTCCGCCATTTTTTCATCAAAGTAAGTGTGCACGCACGCACGCAAGCACAAAAAGGAAACAGTTTGAAGAAAAATTAGACCTAAATATACCATTTAGCAGTCAGGCGAAAAGTGTTCAAGGGCAGATTAAGCAGCTTGAATATCTACTGAAGATCCCACATATTCACGACAGGACAAAGAAACGCACTCCCGAGCTTTGCTTTAAACGGTTTTAACATTTTAATCGTTTTCATTGAAACAACGCACCTCAATCCTTTCCAGGTCACTTGTTTCTTTCTGTCAAATCCCAGCGCCCGTACGCGGCTTGTGTTCCATTTCAAACAAATGCTGGTCCCAGTTTTAGCTTTGAAATTTTGCTGTAATTAGACCCAGGTTTAAATCATTTTAAGCCACTGAAATTTTAATGAAGCAACTGGTCCTGTGTGTAGAAAATTGCGAAAGGGTTAATATGATATATCTTAGAAAAATAGATGTATTCAGCGTTCTATTAATGAACTATATTAATGCAAAAGAGACTGACATTTTGGGTCTTATGTTGTATTTTTCGAATGAAATTATTTAATAATTAAAAGCAACTAACAAGCAGTCATCCACCATGAACACTTATCCAGTTGGCAAGTTAATCTCAAAGTAATCGGTGCCAATTTTATTTGATTCTTGGAAAAAGATGTCATAGTATTCGTATACATTTCCTAATCTAAAATTTTTTATCTTTATTTTCACAATCAGCTCGCTCTTGGACGCAGTGCGGAATTCGCACCTGATGCGCGAACGTTTAAGCCCTTTGTTCCGTATCAATAGGAACGCGCCTGGCGTGTAATTAGAGACAAACTGTTAATGAGAAGGGCGCGTGGTGCGATTAAGTTGAAGGACTTAAGCACTTCAGTTTGGGTCTAGTCACGGCGGAAGGATAAATGACGCTACGTGACGTAACGCGTTATAGAGATGGCGTAATATCTTTCGCCAGTGTGCTTGTAGATACTTCGACTCTCTCTCTCTCTCTCTCTCTCTCTCTTTCGCTCTCAGAAGCTTGAGACCCATTTTTATATTATATTAAATAAAATCAAGTACATTATTGATAAAAAAGCTATCTCTTAATTTGAAATGGAACACATTGATTACAAAATTAAAAGAAAGCACATGTCAGAATAATTTGATATCAAAACGTCTCGTGGGCTCCGATCTCTCTCCTCTCTCTCTCCTTTCATCAGGTGTACCCTCAAAGCTAGTTTCATACGACAGTCACAGCGTAAATTCTGCCACATCACAACTTAACAACTAAATACCAGAGCCTACGAAAACTTTAAGTGTCTAAAGATATTCACTTCCATAGCAAACAATAAAAACCCACTTTGTTCCATCTAAACGCAACATTTTACTTCTAAAGTAACTCATTGGAGTTACTTAGTAGCGTATAAAGCCTTCAACCGGAACGAACGTTACGGAAGAGCTTAAAGACCAGGAACTCATATTCCAATAAAATCCATTTCAGTATATTCAATCCCAAGCCGTCTTCACTGCATTGTTTGTCTATGGTGAATATTTGCATTAAAAAGCATATATTTGAGAGGAAATGTATCATTAACTTTTGATCAACAATATTTTAATTCTTCTCCCTCACACATGCTGTTTTTCGTAATCACTAACTAAGAGAGTTAATAGAAGGCTAATTTGCTCCTGCGATGCGCAAATCTGGCGTTATAAAGCCTTATTTACCTCCGTCGTTTACTCTTAATTAAGACCAAACACTTTAAGGTGCTCAGCGTTTAAACTCAAGTTTTAAAGCATTGTTGTCGCCTTTAAGTGGGGTATGGGGTAATAATTAGGCGAGCACACAAAACTTATTGAGACAAAGCCCCCTATATGCGGCCTATGTCAATAATCAACAGCCAATGCCGGATTCTATATTATAAAGTTCCTTCCGAATACGCCGTAACTGCCGCCTGTGAGACACAATAGAAACGTCGCCCAGAAACTACGTGTGATCCGCATCATTGTTGCTTTTTGAAATAGTTTTTCAAGTGGAAATCACTGGTATACGTGGGTTGGTTATTGGTGGGTCGTTGTTTTGGCCTTTGGGTGTGTCGTTGTTTTTTTATGCGACAAATGCAGTGATATTTTAATTGATTAATTACTTTTAACCAGATGAGTTGAGGTTGGAGATATGAAGAAATATATTTATGCTACAAGCAGGTTTTTTTTTAAATCTCGAATCTTCAAATGTCGAAAAGAAGGATACTGAAATAATTATAAATGAGCCGCATGATCTCTTTCGTGTCAAAGGAGGAGCGGGAGGGGGGGGGGCTGAAGTAGAATGACATCGAAGAAGAAAACTGCGCTGTACTTTTACTCGTTTCCCCGCGTTTTTCTTTATTTCTTCTTAAATAGTCCTTGAATTTTCTTAATGTTTCTCAAAGAAACCTGCTTTAAATACGGCTAAAATGACTATTAACGAGTAAAAGGAGGGGTGTAGACGTATATACCCTCTACCAGGGCCA